CTTGGGGCATATGTCTTTAGGTAATTAGTTGGTACATAGGTCTTTAGGCCATTACTAGGTGTATAGGTCTTTAGGTTATTACTAGATGTATAGGTCTTTAGGTCATTATTAGGTGTATAGGTCTTTAGGTCATTATTAGGTTATAGGTCTTTAGGTCATTATTAGGTTATAGGTCTTTAGGTCATTATTAGGTGTATAGGTCTTTAGTCATTAGTTGGTGCATAGGTCTTTAGGTCATTAGTTGGTGCATATGTCTTAGTCATTAGTTGGTGCATAGGTCTTTGGGTCATTAGTTGGTGCATAGGTCTTTAGGTCATTAGTTGGTGCAAAAGTCTGTAGGTCATTAGTTGGTGCATAGGTCTTAAGGTCATTTCTTGGTACATAGGTGTTAAGTCGATTAGTTGGTACCATTAACAACCTAACACCCCCATTTTTGGAAGAGTCTATTGTCGGAATCTTGGTGCCAATAGTCTAGTGCTTTGCTAGTTTTGTCTAAAGTCAGCTCGACTTCAGAATAATAGACAAGAAGGGTTTCTTTCTGTCTTTTTCTGTCTCGAGTGATTGAGAATTCTAGAAACTGGGGGGAAGGGGGGGGGGGAAGCATTTGATAATTCTGGGGGGGGGGGGGGGGAGGGGTGGACGTATTTTATGGTGAGGGAGGGGAAATAGTTCCCAAAAAGATGCCTGGAAAAGTACAGCAAACAATCTCGAACAATGCCTGAAGTCATGATACTGGTCTCATCTACATCTACATCTACATCTACAGCCACATCCACATTCACATGCTCATCTACTTCCTCATCTACATCTACATCTACATAAATATCAACATCCACATCCAAATCCACGTCCACATCAATATCCACATCAATATCCACATCAATATCCACATCCACGTCCAAATCCTCGTCCACATCAATATCCACATCAATATCCACATTAATATCCACATCCACAAAAATATCCACATCCAAATCAGTATCCACATTCATTTCAATATCCACATCCACATCCACATCCACATCCAAACCAACACCAACACCTACACCTACACTCACACCTACACGTACACCTGCACCTACACCTACACCACATCCACATCAATATCCACATCAATCTCCACATCCACAAAAATATCCACATCCAAATCAATATCCACATTCATTTCAATATCCACATCCACATCCACATCCAAACCAACACCAACACCTACACCTACACCACATCCACATCCACATCTAAATCCACACGTACATCCCCAGGCCATCATCGTGTTCGAGTGTGTCAGGTACCAGCCAATCACTAGCAGCGCCTACCCCGTGTGGGCGGAGCTCCTGGGGTGGCTAGTGGTGGTGTTGACGATGGTGTGGACACCCCTGTGGTATTTGGTGTATTTCTGGCGGGAGTGGAGGTTAAACGGGTATAGACAGGCTTGGCAGGTGAGTAGAGATAATTTGACATAACAAGTATACACACACATACACATACACACACACACATATATATATATATATATATATATATATATATATATATATATATATATATATATATATATATATATATATATATATATATATATATATATATATGTACATATATATATATACATATATATATATATATATATATATATATATATATATATATATATGTACATATATATATACATATATATATATATATATATATATATATATATATATATATATATATATATATATATATATATATATATATATATATATATATATATATATATATATATATATATATATATATATATTCTATAAAACTTAACTTACATATATTAACAAAATCTTTACCCAAATATTCTAACAAAAACTTTAATCAGATATTCTAACAAATACTTTACTTATAAAATTCTAACAAAACTTTACCAACATATTTCAACAGAAACTTTACCCACATATTCCAACAAAAACTTTACCCCCATACTCTACCAAAAACGTTACTCATACATTCTAACAAAAACTTTACTCGTATATTCTTCCAAAAACGTTACCTACATATTTCAACAGAAACTTTACTCACATACTCTACCAAAAACTTTACCCACATACTCTACCAAAAACTTTACTCACATACTCTACCAAAAACTTTACCCACATACTCAACCAAAACCTTTACCCACATACTCTACCAATAACTTTACCCCCCAGACTTTAGTACGTTTAAACCAGCCAACAGACGACTGGGGACCTTACGACGACTCACACAGAACAATCCTCCGCTACATCAAGCCCACGGTCATTCAACCCATACCTCAGGTCTTAGACTTCCCAGGCGACTTTGACTAATCAGTACTTCATGGGCAATGATGAGACAGACTTGAAGAAAGAACACGGTTTCTAAATATAATTTCACGTGCTCGCTGCAATATCTCCAGAATATGTTGAATGTTTCGTCAGGAGAGAATGAATTCTTCGCAAAAATATTAAATTATTCGCCAGAACATTATCTATTCTTCACCAGAATATATTAAACATTCGCCAGAATATATTAAATTATTCGCCAGAACATTATAAATTCTTCACCAGAATATATTAACCATTAGTCAGAATATATTAAATTATTTGCCAGAATTATTGATTTCTTCGCAAGAATATATTAAACATTCGCCAGAATATATTAAATTATTTGTAGAATTATTGATTTCTTCGCAAGAATATATTAAATATTCGCCAGAATATATTAAATTATTTGCCAGAATTGATTTCTTCGAAAGAATATATTAAATAATTCGCCTGATTTTATTAAATCCTTCTGCCTGAAAATATTAAATCATTAGCTAGATGACATTAAATTATTCACCAAAACGTATTAAATCCTTGCCGGAATGTATTGCATCTTGAACTGGTAGTTTCAAAGATCTGGGAGGCGTGACATATACTTGGAGATGGCGCTTGATATTTCTACACAACTTACCCGTCCAGATAGAGTTTGCTTTGGTTTCATGTAAATCGAAATACAATTTTATGCAATGCCATGCACATTAAAAAGTTTAGAGTATTATATTATTTGAGTATTATATTTTTTTTTTAAAATAACAATTACAAATTTCTTTAAAGAGAAATAAAAAAAGCTGAAAAATAAAAAAGTAAGGAAAATAGTTATATTTATTTTTTTGCTTCTTTTCCAAAGGAACATTTTACTTTGATTTATCCTTTTATAAAACAGAAGTTATTTCCCCGTCATGGATTTTTTTAAAAATCCCAACTGATTAAAGTTCTAAAACAATCAGATTAGTTGTGATCTTATATTATTCCCGTGTGACTGTGTATAAAACTTTTCCTTCTAGATCGAATTTTAATCCCAACTATTTATAACATCCCGATTTCTCGGACTTGTAAAATAAAATAAAAAACACATATATAAGCATAGTAGTGATTGATGATTTATTACGTAATGTAAACTTGGAATGTAAAGTTCGTATACAAAAAGGATTTGTTGAGTTTTATTTTTATTTTTTTGTAGTCATTAATATAACGTTTTAAATATATGTTTTGTGAACTACACAATTTTTACAACTTCATTTCTTAAAAATGTAAGTGATCAAATAATTAATTTTGCAGTCATAAAAATGTTATGTGTGATTATTCATAATCAAAATATATATTTACTAACCATACTATTTCGTCTGTTATTATTTTTTTTAAAATGCATCGTTCTCATTGTTTTTTCTACAGGAAAAAAAATACACACACACACATATATATATATATATATATATATATATATATATATATATATATATATATATATATATATATATAAATATAACAGATTTCTGTATGATACAATGAAATGCAACATCTGTAAAGCAAAAAAAAAATTATGTACACTAGATCAAGATATAAACAATAACATGGTTCTAAAATTAAATCACTTCGACGATCTTGTCTTTTTTTTCTTTAATTAGCCAATCACCTTTCCTCTTTACCTACTCAAGTAACCGTGCGTGTTCATGCAGAAAATAGCTACACCACCAGTTTGATGTCGAAAGTGTTTATTTTCTGTATTCGTGTTGTTAAATAGTTTTCATCTCAGGTTATCACGAGTCTTCAGTCAATTAAAAAAAAAACAACCTTAGGGTTAGTTGCCTGAAAATATCGTCAAAGCACTGCAAGTCAAATGTTTTTTACTAGCAGATCTCGGCAATATTTGAGTCGTCTTCAGGCCCCACTAGCCTCCGTGTGTTGTATTAAAATATATAGCCAGGCCATGGCGTTTGCTTCCATAATGACGTTGAAACTTGTATTGACTTTATCCTCCAATTTACAGCGGTATTGCCTTACATCTCTCTGTGAAGAACCTCCCCACCTGTCTTACCCCCCCCCCCCCCCCCCCCCCCAATCCCCGGAGCAAGTCCCTAGCATAAATAATATTTTAAAAATTTAAATAGAAAACATGTACTTTCGAGTATCAAAACCACCCGCTTGAGAGAAATATCCAAAACAATATCTATGGGTTTCTAACACCGACTTCAATATAGATTAAATGTTATTTGGTCTGTTAAACCTAGCTTTTAATGTACGAACATACCATTTAGATATTTCTTGCAACCAGTCTCTTGGGGTCTATGATTTCCTCCTAATTTTAGATGGTTTGAATTCTACTGTACATTTTTTCTATATTTTCCAGTACATTATAAATGATTTATTTCACTTCGTTAAGGTGAACTCTGTCACCTATTTTCGACTCCATCGCAAATAATTTAACTGTAGGTGAAATCTGTGCATTCTGTTACCTGTTTGCGATAACTACTTATATAATTTTAAGACAATTTATAAGGTGAATTATATCACCTATTTTCTAAGACATCTTGAATAATTTACTAAATAGTGGAACGGTGAATCTTGTCACCTATTTACTATGCCATCTTGTATAATTTACTAATTAGTGGAAGGGTGAATCTTGTCACCTATTTTTTGACGCCATCTTGAATAATTCTCTAACCCTTGTACGGGTGGATCTCGTCACCTATTTTCATAAATATCCCGTGGATACCTGTTGTAATCAAACATGATAAAATCCCACCGGTACAGTTCTTCTATCTTGTACAAAAGATCTGTTGGCACCTCCATGTAACCACGGAGCATCGCCGCCCTTTTTTGTGCCTTTTGTGTCTTGCTGTCTCTGGAGCTCCAGGCCTTGTACGCATGGGTGCAGAGTTGGATGAAGGACTCCTGGGTCAGAGGCGGCTCCCTGGGCCGTCTGGGTGGGAACGGTACCTCCATGGGCAGGTGACCATTGAACTGGAACGCCGTCCACAGCCGGCTGAAGAGTTGTTCGAGCGTGAAGCAGGTCTGTGATAAGTGTATGAGTGATGTTAGGGGAGGTACTATACGGAAACAAAAAGCTTGTTTAAAATAAAAGCTTAGTCAAAATTGTCTAGTTGTCTATGGCTGTTGTGTAACGTACGATATGGTCGGATGGTAGAGCGTACGACTGATAACCCGAATATCTGTAGGATGTATCTGATTCCACCGCAGGGGCGTAGCGAAGGGGAGGGGGGGCGGTGGGTGCGGACCGCACTGGGTGACACCATTTAGGGGGGTGACACCAAGGCAAAAAATAGCAAAATATATAGAGAAAAACTTGAGGGGGGGGGGTGCAAATCGAAAGTTTGTTGGGGGGGGGGTGCAAATCGAAAACTTGAAAGTGTGTCCCCGGAAAGGGTCGCTACGCCTCTGGGGGGTGACACCATTAAGTGCCGCACCGTGGGTGACACCCGACCTCGCTACGCCACTGTTCCACCGTACCCCGGTCCTTACCAGACCGACGGTAAAGAAAACTAAAGCGACTGAGTAATATGCTGACTTCTTATCTCTTCGCAGGCCGATGTCACATAAACAGTTCATCTCTATTTCATCTGCCCTCCATACCGACAATTGATTTTAAACCTCAAATGAAACACGACATAAAAATTCTGCCCGCTCGTGAATATTTATATTTTTAATTTAATAATCAGACCTACAACTCAATACTGGTTTTTTTTTGGTTTTTTATTTCTGTTTTTTCTTGAGAGTAGCGCGAACTTCTTAGATTTATGGGTTATAGGAACACACATAAAGTAAACGACCTTTATAATACAATTCAATATGGTCGAAAAATTGTTAAAAACTTGGTATTTCACACGCTCTAAAAAAAAACGCAAGAAACGAAGAAAACAAATTCTTTATATAACAATTTAATTGCGCCTTTTAAAGATCTTCATGGACCTCATTACCTTAATTAGACTGACATTTTAAAAATATTTCTTATAAATCAATTTCTTATTTTTATAATTAGTTCGCCGACCCATTAGACTGTTTTATGAGGTTAAATATTTAAATGCTTCAAAAAAAAAGAACACATATTTGTTTAAATTGTGAAACAGGGAATCAATATTAGAGTACAAATAGACCAAGGTTCAATAACTCTAAAGTTTGTTAACGCGCTTACCACGACATACAGACCAAAGTTCGATAACTCTGTTAATAGTTTTACCCTTGTTACCACAACAAATAGACCAAAGTTCGATAACTCTCGAAAGATGGTTACCTTGGTTACGACAACCAGAGACACGTATTTTCTAATTACCTCAAATTCCTCCTGGAAAAAGTTCCACATTTCCACATTGTATTCTGTCAACATCTCCATCTCTTTTATGGCTCGGTCGGCCGTCACAGAGTGGGTCACGTTGACCTTTCTATTTATAGGCTCGTCCAGGAGCCAGGTCATGTTGGCTTTTTCTAAAATAAGCCTGGGAAAAAAATGTAATCAAATTAAAAATTTCGTTTTATTTTTAAACTACAAACCATTTTTTAAAAGAAATGTTTAATTTGTTGTTTAATCAAAACTGAAAATAAAAACAGGCGGTCAGCAAAGTCATGTTGACTTTCCTCAAGTCAGGCATCAGTCCCAATCAGGTTGACTTAGTGGCGTACACTACGGACTCGAACCCTAGAATTCGTTTAGTGCTCTAACGCTAGACGCTCGACACCGCTACATAGCAGAATGGCTGAATATTTGGTCACCGTGTCGGACTTCATATTGAAGCCCCTATTATATTAAAGATATAAATATATTATGTTTGTGTAATAAAATTATTAAAATTGTATGCGGCAAGAAAAAATAACCCATCCCACCCTTCCCCTACGTAATTCGCCATATGCACACATACTAAAACGAGTCCCACTTAATATTTTAGCCTTAAAATAAATAGTTCTCAATTGTATAATTAAATTAGTTTTTTATTTATTTAAACCAAAGTAAGAGCGAGCTATTTTTTAAAAAAAAACTAGTCTAAGGGAGGCTACTTGATAAGAGGTAGTCTACTGGAGGCTACTATCTAGGACCGAATAAGGGAGATAACTTGATAGAGCCTTATCTAGGGAGATTATTCTAAAGGACATTATAAAGGAGGCTAAGCTAGGAACTTTTAAGGGAGGCCACTGATGGTTAGGTTATTCTAAATGACTTAATAAAGGAAGCCAAAATATTATCTTTAAAGAGAGGCATTTCTTAGAGTTTAGCCTACGGATGCCTTGGTCCAGAGGCGTAGCGAGGGGGGGGGGGGTGGCGGGGGGGGGGGCGGACCGCACCGGGTGACACGATTTAGGGGGGGGGGGGGTGACACCAAGGTAAAAAAGTAGTAAAAATATATAGAGAAAAATTTGAGGGGGGGGGGGGTGCAAATCGAAAATTGAAAGTTTGTCCCCGGAAGAGTCGCTACGCCTCTGGGGGGGGGGGGTGACACCATTAAGTGCCGCAACGGGTAACACCCGACCTCGCTACGCCACTGCCTTGGTCTAAGGGAGGCGACCTCAATCTTTCAGTTACCAGTTACCTTGAGTCCCGTGTGAAAGTCTCCATCTTGCCTAGGATGTGGGGTCGAAACAAACAGGGGTCGCACACGTACTTGTAGGGGGCCCAATGCTCGTTCAGCTGTTCGGGGTTCTCCATGAAGCTAGTGTTAGTTATGAACCTGGTAGGCAGAAACAACAGCAATTAATTGATGTAAGTATTATCAGCCTTGTTTAGTTACGTAAGTTACTTAGTACCCGATAGACACAAAAAAACAGCACTTAATTGTCTAGTTACGTAAGTCAGTGATGATTCTGTATGCAACATAAACGGCAGCACTAAAATAGTGAAGGCTGTTAAGTCCTTCACATGTTGTGTGTGTATGTTGTGTATTGAATCACAGGTACCCGCTTTTGTACACAGTTGTAGCCCTTGATTGTGTTTTGGGTTGAGAAGTGTTCACGGAGTTTGTTGACAACTGACGAGTGACACGGTGTGTGTTAGTGTGTAACAGTTGATGAGTGACAGGAGATGTGTTAGTGTGTAGCATTAGGTTTAAGTAAGTAATGTGTCAGAGAGAAAAAAAATCAAGCACTTAAATTACGTTGCTACAATAGCCATAAAGAAAAACATACCATTAAAACACAGTTTAAAATAACGTAATTATAAACAAATAGCATGTTTGTATATAACATAAATCTTTCACTTAACATAAACTCAAATTTAAACAGAGCAGTTAGCTAACTGAAGTAGGAAAAGTAGATAAAAAAAAATAAAACTTAAAAACAAGTTTTAATTTACCGTAAAAAGTCAACGAAAGAGATATCCTTTGGACAGTATTTTGTATCGGCTGTAGGCGACAAAAATTGTGCAAGTAATTAAAAGCTATTTCAGAAACTTTCTTAGATTTTTTTTTCTAATAAAATGTGTCAATGACATTGAAAGTAAATTTGCACAGAAGTTAAAAAAATTAACTGTAGTTTCGTCCTTAATCGCTTTTAACACTTAACAACTCAAAAATTACAGTAAGATTTTACGCTCAAATTACAAATACCATCTACACAATTTCACAAAACAAAAAAAAAAAAAAAAAAAAAAAAAAATAAAATGTGTCAGATTCGTAGCAACGAAATATTTTTACCATCGTAATTCAAAAAGTCTGCAATTTTTTCACCCTCCGAGTACCAAAAATCTGGCAACCAAAATTTGTCGATCCAGGCAGACCAGAGACGGCTGTAGGGGTCTCGCACAAACATAAACCTGTTGGAATAGACATGTGTATGGACCATATAAACCTGTTGGGATAGACATGTGTATGGACCATATATCCTGTTGCGATAGATATGTGTATGGACCATATATCCTGTTGCGATAGATATGTGTATGGACCATATATCCTGTTGCGATAGATATGTGTATGGACCATATATCCTGTTGCGATAGATATGTGTGGGCCATATAAATCTGTTAGTTACAGTACAATAGTATTTTGACAATATGGTTCACACAAACCTCTAGCAATACAACAGTATATGACTGTATGGGTCACATAATAAAGAGTATATTACTCAAAGAGTCAGCTCATCAGCTTCCTCGGAGAGTCGGCTATCAACTACATCCAAAAGTCAGCTAATCAACTACAGACAAGAGTCATCTACCTCAAAGAGTCAGAGAGTCACTACCCCAAAGAGTCAGCTAATCAGACTACCTCAAAGAGTCAGCGAGTCAACTACCTCAAATAGTCAGCTAATCAACTACCTCATAGAGTCAAAGAGTCAGACTACCTCAAAGAGTCAGCGAGTCAACTACCTCAAAGAGTCAGCTAATCAGCTACCTCAAAGAGTCAGTCATACTACCTCAAAGAGCCACTGAGTCAGACTACCTCAAAGAGTCAGCGAGTCAGACTAAAGAGTCAGACTACCTCAAGGAGTCAGCGAGTCAACTACCTCAATGAGTCAGCGAGTCAGACAACTTTAAAGAGTCAACAAGTCAACTACCCTCAAAGAGTCAGCGAGTCAGACTACCTCAAAGAGTCAGCGAGTCAGACTACCTCAAAGAGTCAGCCATAAAGCTGGAGGCTGGCTGACTGCTCCACATCGACTCCTCAAAGCTGATGTTCCCGTAGTGTGTGGTCATGCGGGGGATGTCGAAAGGGGAGTCATAGATGACGCCACTCGTCTCGTTGTTGAGGAACCGGAAGATGTTGATCCAGAAGGTGCAGCCCACCTGAGATGGAAGACAGGTTATTTAGGTCACAAGGTCAGGAGGTCAAGGTCAGAAAGACTAGGTAGATTTGATTAGGGAAATATAAAGTTGGAGGTGTGTTAATTCACAAGGTCAGATGTTTAAGCTCAGATAGACTAGGTAGATTTGATTTAGGTACATAAAAAGGCAAAGGCGAGTAAGGTCACAAGGTGAGTGAGTATCAAGTGATTTAATTGTGTTGTCTCCGCTTAGTTTCAAAACCATTTAATTAATTTTTAATGACTAATTAAACTAACTACATCCAAACCAATACCCTAATGAATATCCCATATATTGAGGAACTGGACAAGAGGGTTGAGAAAAATTAAAAAGCTAATTTTTTTAAAAAATCAGATAAACTTTTATTGTCATCGAAATAGAACGTATATGGAAAGTTTGAACGAAATCACTACATTAGAAAAGGCTCAAAATTAAGTTACAAGATTTGCATAAGGCTGGTCAGAGGTAGGTCAAAATATGCTGTTATGTGGGAAGTAAAGGTAAGAAATGAATAAAGAAAAGTAGGAGATGGGCGCAGTTACCCAGAGATTAATGAGAAGTTAAAGTACTTTTAATTTTAATTAATGAGCAATTAAGGTACTTTTAGTTTATTATATCCCTAAGTATGCTTAACAGAAAATAAAACAATCATTATATAACACATGCATTTTATTTAGAAGGGTTTAATTTTATGTTTAAATAATAGATATTCAAATGTTTTTAACACGTTTTTCTTAACTCAGCTTCGCGTTTGTTTGTTTGGTTGTTTGGATGTTTGTTGTTAAAATTGACATCGAAAATTAGCCCACTTCTGATTGCTCTTGAGATCTGAAATTTGGCATACAGGCTACTTTCGCCTAACAATTTCAGATGCAATCATAAAAACTAGCAATTAGAGACCGTAATTAGCTTAATTTAATTACGCCCCAAGGACCATAAAATTGAGGACATGATTTCTAAAGATACCGACAAGACTGTAGGCTTATTGACACAGTTACTTCGGCCCCAATCGATGTGAGCGCGCTGGCCGTGATCGTATAGTGGTTAGTACTTCGCGTTGTGGCCGCGACAACCCAGGTTCGAATCCTGGTCGCTCAAGATTTTTTTTAGTCCGTGTATTTATAAACACTTAGTAAAGTCATACTTAATCAAGTCATTAGATAAAGTAGAAAATAAACTATATAAAAAACTTTTTTTAAAAACCACGTTTTTCATGTGTAGCAACGGACTAAAAAGGAGAAAATAAAATACTTAAAAAAACTTTTTAAAACACCACGTTTTTCTTGTGGACTAAAAAGTAGAAAATAAATTTTTCTTTTGTGCTTCCTCGAGCTGTGCAAGTTCTTGTGATGACTGACAAAAAACGTGGGTCGGGCAGATGGGTCGGGAAATTTGATGGTGAACGTACCCACGTTTTTTGTCAGTCATCACAAGAACTTGCACAGCTCGAGGAAGCACAAAAGAAAAATTTATTTTCTACTTTTTAGTCCACAAGAAAAACGTGGTTTTTTAAAAAGTTTTTTTAAGTATTTTATTGTCTATTTCATTAGTTCCCGTTCGGGGCCAAGACATACGGGGCAGATGAAGTAAAGTTCATAACAATGACCTCAGCATTGCCTATTTACTAAATATTAAAACTTTACTTATATCAAAAGTAAAAATATATTACATTAAAAAAAACTGCGATTTTATAAACACTTGAGCAACGTGATTCACCGACCTTGGGCACAATACAGTTGGATAATCTGTGCTCGACGTCAGAGATAATCCTCCAAGCGTAGCCAATGGGAGTGATGACACATACGTCATTGACCTTCTTCAGCCTGCTCTCCTGGTCATGGCACTCCGTCTGCTTCTGCTGTTGGTCGTCTGCTGGCGTGGAACTCTTTACCCTGACGTCTGCTGGTGTGGAAGTCTTTACCTTGACGTCTGCTGGCGTAGAACTTTTTATTGCGACGTCTGCTGGCGTGGAACTCTTTACCCTGACGTCTGCGAACGTGGAACTTTTTACTGGGACGTCGGCTGACATGAATTTCGTTAACTGGACTTGACGACGTACTGCAAGGAGACCTGTTGGATATTTTTTGTTGTGCTTGATCAACCGGGTTTTGTAGGATGTATGACGGTTATTGGATGTATTGTGTTGTTGGATGTATTAAGTATTGTTGGATGTGTTATGTATTGTTGGATGTGCTATGTATTGTTCGATGTATTATGCATTATTGGATGTGTTATGTATTGTAGCATGCATCATGCATTTGATGTATGATGTATTGTTCGATGTATCATGTTTTTCTAAGCGTATCATGTTATGCTAAGTTTATCAAGTAATGTTGGATGTATAATGTATTGTTGTATATTTCATGTATTGTTGAGTATATGTTGTTAAGAGTGATTTACAATTTTTTCTCAGCGCACCGCGCAGTATCGATACAATTGCTAAGCTGACAGCTGTTCCAAAAATGTAACATTCATCGAAAACGAGCACTAATCTAGCAACTGTCATAAAAGAAAAGAATGTAAAAATTGCTTCACAATTCACCGACTATTGTTGAATGATTTTTTTTAAGCCAACACATTGGTGCCATAGATTCCTCAAATGATTCTTAGATTGAAAAGATAACTAGCATTTAAGTTTAGATTTACTAATCTGTAATCCTCCCCCCCCCCCACACACTCACAATCACCCACATCTCTTCTTACAATAACACCCGCCTCATGCAACAAACTTGATGACTGTTTGAGCATAATTGATCATAATATGATGAAATACTTAAAATAGTATTATAAATATATATTTTATTTTCTTACATTTTTGTTTCTATACTTATAACTGTAATCTACATTTATTTTTTAGTTGTTGAGTGTTAATGTAAAATTTTAAGAGTGTTTAGATTTCAATCAGAAAATCGAACTACCTGTAAAATAAAAACAGCAAGATGTCTTTTAAGTAATATCTAGAAGGGAATAGATCAATTTGTATCAGTGCATAGCGGCTAAAACAGCATACTAAATATAGCGTGTTTTTATTGGCCTGGTTTGAGACATTACTACCAGGAGGGGGGAGAATTGACGGGGGGTGGGGTTGTTATGTCCAACTCCAATATTGGCCTCTATGGTTATTATGACTTAACTTTATCCTTTATCCTCCTTGTGGCGCATAATTCCTCGACCATAACCTTCCATTTTGTCTTGTTTCTGGTTGCTGATTTTACAACCAAGACATTCCTGATGTCTTCAGTTTTTTAAGAAGACTATGCCTCAAGTGAGCCTTAGGCGATATTGGTACAATACACGTCATAAATAAAGGTGTGTTTATAAGCAGACGTGGAGTGTATTGAGTCAAAGCAAGGAACTTCATTGTTCAGTCTGTACCGGCGGAGTTATCTTCTTAAGCCACGCTACACCACAACAGCAGTATTCGATCAACTAGTCACGGCAAATTCCGGCTAACCAGAAGATTTCGGTCTTATTTACTGGCATCTGGCATTGTCTCTTTCGGGTTGTATATATATATATATATATATATATATATATATATATATATATATATATATATATATATATATATATATATATATAAACACCTAAGCCTAAGCGTGCTTTTACAATTGTGTGTATTTAACGATTTATTCTTCTAGCCTAGCCTGGAACCAAAAACGTGATCCAGATACCTAGAAACAGACCAAAGTTTGGACTGTGTCTACCTCAGCATCACGACCTCGCGTCTATCTCAGACTTTATCTCATCGAACTCATTCTTTGACGCCTGGTAACAATGTCAGTGGTCAGTGTTCTAATTGGGTGTCTAGAATCGTACTGCGTTAAATGCGTGTGTGCGTGCATGTATTGTATTGATGGGTATATACATATGTATATGTACACACACAAATATATATATATATATATATATATATATATATATATATATATATATATATATATATATATATATATATATATATATATATATATATATATATATATATATGGGCTATGATATTTAAAAAATATTGATTGCAAGGTACCAATGGTATTATTTTACAATATTAGCTTTTTATATATTTAGTTTAGTAGGTATATATACAACCTTGTTATTATAAGAGTTATTATATTCGTTGTGTTGTTCGTTATGTTTAAATGTGACTGTCTTTTGTTACCACTCCAATCGTGCTTATCCTGAAAATCAGGCATTACACGCAGACTGTCAGACATGTTGACGTGTCAGATAAGACAACATGTGGCACGTTCACTAGCTAGTTCATGTCTAATGTTGAGTGTAACGGTTCGAGTATTTTTAGGTATATATTACTTAGGTTGAAGTAGGCAGTTACTGCGTTTTAGTTTTAGTTGTATGAGTTTGTTTGGGCTTGTTGATAATGCGAGGTATTTGTGTTGTGTTTAGTAGTGTTGTGTGGGGAGGTGTGTTGTGTGGGAGTGTTGTTTTATAGTATGATGTTGTGTTGTGTATTGTATGGTTGTGTTGTGTTGGAGTGTTGTTTTATAGTATGATGTTGTGTTATGTACAGTAGAGTTGTGTTGTGTGGGAGTGTTGTTTTATAGTATGATGTTGTTTTGTGTGTTGTAGGGTTATGTTGTGTTGGCGTGCTGTTTTATAGTATGATGTTGTACAATGTATTGTAGCGTTGTGTTGTGTGTCATTGTATTAAGTGTTTTTCTGTTGCTTGGTGCTATAGTATTTGGAGGTATGCTACGTGAGGTTTAATGACGGTGGCTTTTTGTAAAGATGTTTGTGTTGTGCGTGTTAATTTACGTGAGTTTATATATTCTGTCGATGGTGGTTGTTGCTGTGTTCTGTATTTTATAGCATGGTGGTTTGATATTTGAGTCTGAGGTGTGGTAGTCTCCCAACCGCCTACCACGGTTAAGCCATGTAATAATCATATACTTATTTTTATCTGCAATGCTTACAAGACTAAATACTCTAATTAAACTATTTTCAAATGCCAAAAAAATATTTTTAGAACTTTTTTTATATTACTTTGTATAATAAAAAGGAGTTGTGATTATATAATTTCTATTGTATAAAAGGCCTGTAAATTTTATAAGTCAAACAGGATTATGAAAAATTTATTATAAATTTCATATCTCTAATAAAAGTATGACATTACATTATTTCATATGTCTGAGAAAAGCATGCCTTGTCCATTGTAATAGACAATCACCAGATGTTTAAAAGCAAAATATATTTAATTTTTAAAAGTATCGACAATTTAGAGTTACAATGGTCACTTTTAAAAACTACCATTAAAAGCGATACCCACGACATTACCTTTTGGTCTGATTAAAGTTAGAAAGAACGGACAAAGGGAAAACACTCTAAATGTTCCGTTTAACCCTTTATCAATTACCCAAGCCATTTCAACGTGACTTCGTGCGGCTAATTGATACTTTATACACCGTCGTTAGATCGGTCCCTACGGGGTTAAATTTAAAACTGTGGGAGTTTAAAAATTAAGAATCAATTTACGACTTAAAAGCTTTTGCATTGATTAGCACTAGATATGCCAAGTCAACATAAGTAAAGGAAAGAGATTCTATATAGGCAAAATGATTGCCTGGCGGCAATATATACATATATATATATATATATATATATATATATATATATATATATATATATATATATATATATATATATATATATATATATATATATATATATATATATATATATATATATATATATGCGTGTGTGGGTATTATTATTACGAATATATGTATGTGTTATAGGTTTATATATTTATGTATATATATATATACATATATATATTGTCCTATATATTATACTGTTGTTTGTTTTAAAGAAAATATTATTGATTGGTAAGATGCAATTTTAAAATAATGTCTTTACAGGACTCGTTAATAGTTTAACATTTCTAGATAAGAGATGAGCTCTACTTCACCTACTCGACTGAAATATTGGTGCCGGTCACTTACCGTCAGAGCTGGAAGACGATGACGTGATCTGGTACAACACCAGACCCAGGGTGAATAATCCCAAGGTCAATGTCAGCTTGTTGCATAAATATCGTCTACTAACTGTGGCTAGGATTCTGAAACAATCAATGTTGTTCTTCATGGGTAGTATTTAGACTACATAGAATATATAATATATATATATATATATATATATATATATATATATATATATATATACTAGGCATGCTGCCCAGCTTCGCTTAGGCTTTCGAAAACATTGAGAATTTGAATGCTTAATTAATTCGCCCGAAGGTCGGTCTACGACCTCAAGAGTTATGAAGAGGTTCCTCCGTGGACATTTTTTTTCGATTTATAGCTCATATAAGGTACCGGTCAGTCGAGGTCAGTTTTGACCCCCACATCGTAGACTTTTCGGCCAACCGGCCCCCGTGTTCTGTCGCATCAAGGCAAGATCATGCCAAATTTGAAGCGCCTGCGGCGCCGGGAAGTGCCCTATCGGACACCCGACAATCTAGATCTAGATCTAGATTTCTAAAAGAATTTTTTTTTTAAGTTTAGCCCGAGCATAATAAAAAATAATACATTAACCAAGTTGACTTGCTGTGTCTCGAACCCGCACCACCTGCGTGGTTTAATGTACACTAACATCTCCGCTATTTAGGCAACTTATAAAATACGGAGAATGAAACACGTATTTTAAAATCTTAACTTACGCGAATAGGCCTATTCTTTCAAATTAATTTTTTATCCCAAATTAGCCAGTTCCAAACAAAGATTTTGTATAAAATAAATAAGTCTTGAAATAGTTTAGTCCTAATATAGAAATTTATTTTTGGAATTGATTTTAGAGAAGTTAGAGTCTAAATCTAGATCTTAGCGTCTACGTCTAGATCTAGTTATTGCGTAGATTTAGATTTAGATTTAGTCTAGATCTAGAATCTCTAGATCTAGAATCCAAATAAATAAAATAAATTTTATGAGTTTAGGTCGGAAAAATTGTATTGTATAAATTTCATAGTGTACGTAGATCTAAATCAAATTTGAATGAAATAGTTCATTTCTTTTC